AATGTGCAGGATTTTGTTCCCGGGAATAAATCAGATTTGAAGCTTCTTTATCCCTGGAGTATTTAAAAACTTATGGTCTTTTAAATTTCAGTACCCGCCGTAGAATTTGTTGAAATTTGTTATTCTGGAGCAGTGTTTCTCAACCGCCGGACCGCGGCCCGCTACCGGTTCCTCGTCTTTTGAAAAAATAATCTACAGGGCCGCGGTCTCAGTTTGAGAACCGCCGCTCTAGAGCGAGGTTCATATAGCACGGTGCCCCGATGCGTGAAAAATGCATAAAAATTGTAGTCGGAAAACATGAAGAGATAGGCGTAGATGAGAATAATATTAAAACGAATCTTTGAGTTTGAAGATATGGGAAGGCAGGGTCCAGTGACGGACTCTTGTGGACATGGTAATGAACCTTAGCATTCAAAAAGGGGGATTTTTTGACTAGCTAGCGACTGTTTGATTCTCAGGACTTCGCGGCACACACTTACTTCAGTTATATACATACCCTTAGAATGTAAGAAAATGAAGGTTATAATAGTGCGTAATTATTGAAGCACGACGTCATGAAGAGGTATGGGACAGTTGAAGAATAGCTCCACCGAATGGAGGTCAGTGATCAGCTCCACACTCCTGTTGCTTTACCCCTGCGTATACAGCCTCCGCGGGGCCACAGTTTTGTGGAGAAGAGAATGCTAAAACGTAATTATAAAACAACAGTTTTGCGTGGCGCATAAATGAGCCATTATATTTGTGTTGAGTGTAAAAAAGCAAAAAAAAAAAAAAAAATGAAAAGCTATCCCTGTAACAGGATGTGAAGGCCCATAGGGTTGTGAGATGTTAAGGTTCCCACATTTTGTAGACAATCGGCTCATAGATGAGGCGATCTATGAGGTCAGCCTTACGCGCCGGCCACCCTTTACCCCCAGGAATATTCCTGGTACTCATTTCTGTTACAGGCGACACCAGGGCCATAGTGCGGCTGGAAGGATTAGGTAAATTGAAAAATCCACCTCATCGGGATTCGATCCCATGACGTTCCGGCTTGTAGCATAGTGCCTCAATCGCGTACCCCCCGTTGAGTATATGCCTAAGCAAAAAATGTGTCATACAAATGTTATACATATTAAAAACACGAATATTTTCTATATGTTTACATATCTTCTTCAACTTCTGCGCTCGCTGCTGTCCATGAAGAACCGTGGCCTATTTAGCAATTGCTCGCCATTGGTCCCGATCCTGTGCCTTATGTGTCCAATTTCTAACGCCCATTGTCTTCAGATCTTCAACTGAAGCCAGCCACCTGACGGCAGGTCTGACCACTCGTCGGATACCCTGTGGAAGTGGCCCACTTCTGTATAGGGTTAGCACATTGTGGGTTCCCCTTCGAAGTCCTTGATTTTGCTACGTCGTTTTAGGGTTTTGCATCCGGCTGCAATTGTTGAAAGCTTCTCGACAATTAAAGCGTCAACCGCACCCCGAGCCCCTAACCTGGAGTGCCAGGGTATCCGTTTTTGTCTGGATCATCACCTTTGACCTGTACAGCATGGGAGATCCTACCATTAGCTACGCTACCGCCGGTATAGCTCTGAGGATTATATTACCATGCAAGCCCCACCACTACGTCAAAGTAGGGATACTTGTGATTTATAGCTCAAATATTTACAGATGACTAAAATAGATTTTAACTTTCATTTCGTAAAAATCGTTACTTTTGAAACTTATCTCCTGAAACGGATGTCTGAATGTCACGCAGTGTAACTAGGGGAAGGAACCCGTCTGCTGACACAGTTGATTTCATGGCTGTGGAGCCTTTCCTTCTGGCCTTATATTCATCACGAGCAATGGTTACTAAATATATACCGCCAACAAAAATTGTGCTCACAATGTAAAATTTATTTTTAACAAGTGATATTCCGAATAATCAACGATCGTTTTAAGAAATGCCTTAACCAGTTTGTCTTTATAAGGTAGCGGCATAGGTACGAATAGGTACTGAAGTTTTAAATATTATGTGCCGAAAGGCTAAGCATGTCTGAACATGATTGCGGGCATTAACGTGAAGTTTCCGTAGTGCGTTTTAATTTGAAATTTTAGCACCAGTGTAATCAAAGTTAAAATTCTGTTGCGTGTCTGCTTCTTTTGTTTTCATGCATTATGTTGCCTTTTCCGCCTCACACTCATCTGTGATCGTGCCCATGTCCTTGGCAGGGTGACCGCCATATTGCTGGAAATAAAATGCTGGCCACAATGGCCTACTCTTACGAAGGTTATATATAGGTCCTAGAGACGTTTCACTAAACCGGTATTGAGTTTGTAGTACAAATATATTCTGTACTAATTGGCATCATGATAGTATTCTGGGCGTGTTTATTTTGAATGGCATTTCGCCATCTTCTAGAAACATGAATTTGTTGAAATAAGCGTGGCATAAGTGTTTAATACACGGAAATATTCTGATTTTGATAGGCAAATTGTATTGTAGCGAAGAACGTTTGCATTTGGATGTCATCCCTGACATTGGTGTGATCAAGGACTTCATACTTATCTGAAAAGCATGGTATTATATCACGGTCTACTGCGTACAAAGCACTAAAATAACCAAGCACGTCGGTTTGAGGTAGATAGCGAGTTTAATATAAGAATTTTATATTCATAGCTGGGAAGTGTCGAGGTAGCATTTGTGTTATTTCAGTGCGCTAGACACGTAGTTTGTGTACGTTATTCAACCAACATGGCAGAAAGCTAAGACACTCGTCGTGTCTTTGTACTGGGTTCACTCGCAGCTTCATTGTACATGTCCAGCACTAACTGATTTTGCTGACAACGAATTTTTATTCTAACATATACCTGCTTTTATGTGAAGCATTCTTTAACGTACTTTTCCTGTGACAGGAAAACGCCTATTTATATAGGTGTTTTGTTTTAGTCTTGTTCGTTGATTCTTTTATGTTTTATTGTCGGTTTATATTTGAGAACGTTGATAGTCGTGAGAATACTGGTGAAACTGCATATTATTTGCTTCTCTTTGAAATTTAAAACGGCTGTGTACTGGTTCTGTGTAATCAGATTTATCTCATCAAGAGGGGCGAAGCAGAGAGGCGTTACCAGGGTATTATCTAAGGAAATGACGTCATGAAATGTGCGGTGTTTGTTGAAGTTCTGAGAACAGCCGTTTTGGGCGCTAGTGTACAAAGACAGATCAAGCGCTTCCAGTGCCAATCAAACGAACTATGTTCATAGTTTGAATAACTGTCTATGGGCTACGGCAGTGGTCCTCAATCTGAGGATACGTAAAATTAAAATTCGTTTCCGAATTGAGGTGCTGGCGTGCCAGAAACAAGCTCAATCATGTCATCAGCAGGTCAGAACCACATAAATAATTGATAAAACATTTAATCATATAATTTTGCTTTGCTAAAATACCTATGTTCCTTTATTCATTTTTATATGATAGGCAATAATATATTTGTAATTTAATGGCTTGAGTCTCCTTTTTTCTCATTTGAAAGTTATTATTTAATACATTATTTTGGATGTAATTTATTTAATTTAATATAATGCGGATTATAAGCTGTGTATAACTTGAATTATACCAGTACAGGAACAAATTTAGGGTGGGGGGTGGGGGGCAAAGTTGAATGCCACTGGTCTAAGAGGATCGTCGAGTTAGCGTGAATTGCTTAAAGGTACAAATGCATGCACGCACAGTTCTGGCAGATCAGTCACGTGCTTTTCGAAACTGTAGCTGCCGCCGACGACAAAACGTCTACATTTTATAGCGTACTGTAGGTGCAGAGAGATTGTAAACGCATTTAGGTTCTTGCTGTGACCTTGCACTTAACAGGGACCTGCAACGGTATTATCAGTGACCAGAAGAGATTAGATATCGCGTAAATTTATGTATTTTTTGGGTGTTTGAGTACCCCTAACATAGGCAGTCAGACAAACACGCGGATTCGAATTCCCCGAAAGAGAATTGAAGTAAGATGAGAAAATGTTTGAATTTTAAAGAAAGAAGGTTTTAAAGGATTGTCGTATGTCGTTACGAGTGCTGATGCCTTCAGTGGCTTATATCGGATGAAGGAAGTTCTCTCTTCGTGTGGAGCCTGAAGGTTCATCATCATAATAGAAGAGCTCCATTATTATCGGGGGGCACGCGGTAGCGTAGTTGGTTGAGGCACTATGCTACAAGCCGGGAAGGTCGCGGGATCGAATTCCGATTAGGTCATTGTATTTTTTAGTTTACCTAATCCTTCCAGCGGCACTATGGCCCTGGGTCGACTCAGCCTCTATCAGAAATGAGTACCTGGAATATTCTTGGGGGTAAAGCGCGGCCGGCGCGTAAGGCTGACAACCTCACCGCCATCTGTGAGCCGATTGTCTAGAGAAAATATGGGAGCCTCAACATCTCACAACCCTATGGGCCTCCACGGCCTGTTACAGGTATACCTTTACTCTTTTTTTTTTATTTTATCGTCATCACCGCCGCCGTAGTATTTGACCTTGATCTCACCCTGCACGCGGTAGATGTTCCGAACATCCCAACCTTGACCTCATATCCACCCCCCCCCTCACCAAGCAGTCAGTAAGGGGTGAAGACGGACGCTTCCGATGGCTATAGCATTTTAATCATGCTTCTGGCTCTTTTACAGGCAGACGTAGTGTGTGTGTTTATTGATCCTGATGACTTCTGTTCAAGACATTGAAATGAAACCCCATTGCTGCATTTAACCGTTTTGTCATGTGTGATATAAATGTAACACGAAGGAAACAAGATGCATTTCAGTTTTCAGATTAATGTCCCTGCAGTTGATTAACACTGTAAAGTTGTGCTTGCAGTAAGTGAAACAAACGGGAGTGCTAAATCGCAAAATGAGCATGTGTAAACTGTTAGCGTGACGTTGCACATTCCCGCCGGAATCCTCAGGTAAAGCTGTCGAGTTGGGCCTGTATTGGTCTCAGCGCAGCACAGAGAAATAAAAGCTACGAAACTTATCACTGTATTTTAGGACGAGGTCCTGGCGATATCAGAGAAGGTTGTTTTGCGGGTGGAGGACTTGCTGGATCGAATCGTGGAAGATGTCTCGTGGTGCCGGGGACTTGAGGCTGTGTGGGAAAGGAACTGCTTTCTTCAGCCATCCAGCGATGAGGCCACGAAGTCACACGGCAAGATGCTCATCGACAGCGCCCTCGACTTCCAGGACGTTCTCAAAGAAAGAGAGCAAATAGGTAAGAAAAATCAGCGTTTTATTATTGGCCTACTTTCCTTCTTCTTCTTCTTCTTCTTCTTCTTCTTCTGTCTTTTTATGAAAGTGTATGTGATCATACTGTGCACCCCTCGGCCTTCAGGTTTTTACCGTTTGATAGATTTTCACGAAACTAAGTATTCACGTTACACCACTTTATTAGAACACAAAATAACAAGATGGCCGTGCGGAAGTTCAAGGCCTCCATTAAAATACTGATGTTGGGCCTACAGGAATTTAAAATGTGAACTGTAATGGCGGTGAATACCATAACAGGATGTGTATTGATTTGCTGAATAATTATTTGTTGGCAGTGGAAGACCTGAAGCCTGGGAGCAGGCATCTGCCGGCCCCTGGATATTTAAAGAAATCAGAATAGAAAAGGGAAGGGAAATATACCAAAGGATTTTGTGGCGTCGCCTTTGTTTCAGTATACACACCCGCAGCAATAGGGCTACCTGCACAACTGTTCCTAGACGGCTTAAACATGAATTTGTAAACAATTTCTGTCGGCCCCCGTCCACCAGGATAAATCCTGATACTGGCTCCCACTACTCCACGAAATGGAATAAGGCCTGGCGTAGCCCGTGCTCGTAAGTTTCTTAATTGCTAAACATGATTACTGATCTGAATGCAGGTAACTTCGGAGGAACCGGCCATTGTGTGCACTCATCCCTGTAGGTTTGTGAGGATTTGCTGTATGTTTGAGGTGCATGTAATTCGTTTGTTTTCACAGCTGATGATTTCGACCCGGAAGTCTCCGCAGTCGTGGTGCTCAGTTTCCCGAGGTACTGTCGGTACCGAGGCATCATGAAGAGGCTTGAAGGTGTCGCCAACAGGTGGCTGAAGAACGCCTTGGTGATTGCTCTGGGGGGCTTCGTCGTGCCCTGTCGCAGTACCCGGATCCTCTTCTGTAAAGATACCTTCGATTACCCAGATCTCGAGGGTCATGAACTTCTCTGCAACCATCTTGGTGAGTTAATCGCATTTTTTTTAAAATAAATCGAACACTGCGATTATTTAGTGAAGCCGTAAACATATTTTTAGCTGAGAATTCAAAATTCTGTTTCATGTGTTGTTACACATCTTTTTTATCATCTGATCACACTTTTTTTTGTTACTGAACGCCACTGCATTCGCGTTAATCTTTCAAAAATCTTTCTGCACACTTGAAAATTTTGTTTGTTACACTAACGCGTGTTCAGCATGATGCCCTCAAATATCACAAACTTCATACAAAGGAAGAACAAATTTGTTTCAGAACCTTGGTTCAAGTTTTTGTTGAAATGTCGTAAATCTCTGATTGAATGACGGGTTTTACTCCCGGAATTGTATACATTTTTTTTTTCTGAAACACCCTGTCGTTCAAATAACCCCACACAAATTAATCTGAAGAATTGAAGTGGTGGCCATGAGAATCCTTCGTGAAATAGCTCAGAAAACCGGTTGAACGGGACGCTCTCCCCGAAACGTCATGAAGAAAGCGAAGTACGGTGTTGCTGGTGTGAAGTTTGACACCATCTTGTCGAAGCCATGCTGAATTAATTGGAGTGTCATGTACCATCAGTAAGTGGCAAATTGAAGACTCAGCAGACTTGGATAAACGTGAGAAGTGATGAACCCGGGGCCAATACTCCGACGCTCGGTAATGCGTGCCCTACTGTAGCGTACTGTAGCGTAAGCCTTCGAATCTCCGAGGGTCCTAAATCGGACATTATCTTGTTAGTGTAGTCATCCAATTTAAATTGCGTTTCAGCGGAAAACCATGTGACATGACTGAGGCCCAGGTCTGATGTGCTAAATGTCTCCCATTTTTCCTGGGGTACTTGTTACTACCACACGTGCTTCACGGGCAGATGGCTACGTTTGCATCCCTTCGCACGTTTGTCACACACTTCCTTTTGCTTCACACTACCTAACAATCCACCAATCTTAGGTTCTTGCCCCTATTGTGTGTTATGTATAGGATTATCAATAAAACCTGTGTCTCACCTGTATTGTGACTGCCAATAAATTAAACTGACCCTCCACAAAGCTCTCATTAGATCTATAATGACTTATGCTAGTCCCGCCTGGGAGTTTGCGGCAGACACCCATCTAGTGAAATTGCAGCGCCTGCAAAACAAGGTTTTCCGCACCATTGGCAATTTTCCAAGGCGCACACCGGTCCGCGATTTGCACATGGCATTCAAAATTCCATACGTATATGATTACATAACAAAATTATGCAGGCAACAAGCAGAAGTCATACAAAATCATGATAATGAGAATGTTCGCAACATCGGACAAGGCGAAGCCCGACACAGAAAGTATAAGAGGCTTAAACTTGGCGGCGGTCAGGCATACGACCGTTCAAGTGACTAGACTGCCGTG